CCACTACCTTTGGCACAGTGCCTATTTTGTTTATACCCACTATTTGTTGGGTGCATTTTTTATTTTTATAATTAAGAAAAAACCTTAGTTGAGTGGTTGGTGGCCTAAGATTGGCATATTTTTTAAAAATGGTATAAAACGGTCCAGTAATCGTGAATTTTCTGGATACTTGGTTTTTTGTGTTATCTATTTTTATCACAGCTGCTGTACCCAAATCCTCTATATCGTTTATAGTCAACTGTGTGAGCTCCTGCTTTCGGCATGCTCCTGATATTCCAACCTTAAATAATAAAAAATACTCACACATTGAACAAAATAATAGATATTAAACTTGCTCACCTTTGCAAATAAATATAATTCATCTGGAGCTGTTTTTATGAAATTATTTATTTCTTGTTGCGACAGGACTTTGACTTTTTTTGGTTTATAGCCATCACTTTTTCTCTTTAAGAATGCCTTTAATTTTAGGTACTTAGAAATATCAACATTGTGTTCAATAGACAGAGTAGTTCTCAACATTGAGTACTGTGTCCACAAAGTCGAACTTTGTACTTTTGATGATAATTCATTCATATAGACACGTAGAACATTTTCAGAAATCGAACTCTTTATTTGTTTCCTTTGTCTCCATTTAATGAATTGATCATAAGCATATTGATACCTTACTCTGGATTTAGCCTTCGAGCATATATTACTAGAGCCATCGTCCAAATGGACTTTGTTTTGGTACAGGGGGGAAATATAGTGTCCAGCATTCCCATTGGTCTGTTTCGTTTTGCTTGGCATGTCAAATCGTTGAAAATTGTCAGAACTGTCATTTGATTTTTGACTTTCATTAATTTCTAGCTTATGTTTGTAGTTTATAAGTGATTTTTGTATTTTATTACTTTAGTGATACAAATTTTAACAATGATGAGAGTTTTTGTAAGTTTTAAATAGAAATACGAAAAGGCATCGTCAAGGTCATTTCACAAGTAAGTAACCATTAGCGTCTCTACCATTTTTTTAAAAGAAACATAAGTACCTACATTTTATGCAAAAGGCCGTTATACATGAATTTAATATAATGGTAAATTTAGTGAATTAAATTTAAAGAACTTGTATTATGTATGAGGAATATTGTTTTAGATTTTGGAATATACTAAAAAGTAAAAAAAAAATAATCACAATTTTTCAATATAAACAAGCTTTTCGTTTTTAACTCATTTTATCATGATAATGTTGAAGATGTTAAATCAATAATTTTTGTTTTTTGTATATTTCCAACTAATCCTGCCGAAAAACGCATTTGATGAAACATATTGAAACTTACTCCAGAAAATATTTCAAATAGTGATGTTTTATGTGCCAATCATTTTTCTGAACATATGTTTATGTCAAAGACTGGATGCGGACGAAGAACTAGATTAATTTTAGGTGCATTGCCATCAGGACTTACTGAGGTCCCAGAAGAAGATGAAACTAAAAGGTAAATAACTCTGCACTTGTGGGTTAAACGTTTAAATTTTTTTAATTTTTCTCTAAACCATGAAGCCTCTGTTGCAGAAAAAGAAAATGTAGAATTAGAAAGCATATAAGTAATTAAGTACTTTTTAATACAATATAAATTTTATTTTCAAATACTTACCTATTACTAACTATATTTTTTATAAATCACAAAAATTGACAATCATTATTTTTTATTAAATATACGATGTTCTTTAATTAAGTGATTGCTAGTCGTTAAGAAATAAGCAAAGCCTAATGTGATTTTTTCATTAAAAAAGTCATTTTAGGCTTCTTTTATGTGTACTCCTAGTCATTAAGAAATAATCGAAGCTTAAGACAGTTTTCCGATCAAAATTAAGCTTCACTTATTTGTTAACGACTGGCAGTACAAATGTACCTAATTATTAGCTTGATTTCTATTTGTAGTATATCGTTTAGTAATCTATTAAACATTGTTTATTTATTTTTATTATTTTTTATTTAATAGATATCATAAATATTTTTATAATATACCTAAACCTAACATTTATTTATATTTTTGATTTTTAAATGCAAGCTCTTTATCTTTTTAATTGCATATTATTTCAACCTCCATTTTTGTGTCCAACACAAATAATAATAATAATAAATAATAAGACCCACTCGACCATTCATTGTTGGGTACTAATTAACAGTGCTGTTCCTAAAGTGGCGCTGGGAAACAGTAACAAAGCCTACACAGAACACGTTGCTAATAACCATAGCAGTTGATGCCGATGACAAAAAAAAATAATAATAATAATTTACTATTACTAGATACCTACTTAAATAATGCAAGTTTATAAAATAAGTGCATAATTTAAAGAATTTTAAAGGTATATATCAAATTTATTATTTATATTAATTGCAAACCCCGTAAAAATGATGCAACACTGAAAATAGTGTCTACCTATTTCCCCTCACAACCCAAACAAACTCTGAAATGCGGACTCTATGAAATATATATGCTCGAAGGATTTAGCAGACAACAATTTGAGCGACGTGTTTTTAGCAGCTTCTGCTATTTCTGGAGGCGTACATTCGGAATCACTAGAATCCATTTTTTTGTGAGCTCAGTACAATTTTACAATAAAATAAAATTTTACAAAATGACTGCTTGTGTGTTTGACAATTAATACCATAGCCTACTTAATGTAATTTTTCAAATTTTTTAATTTTAAACTTACCTGTTGGGTTTAGTATAATCACAATAGCCATGAAAAATAAGTTTTACTTCACTTTCTTTTAACTACATTAGTGATCTTTATAAAACCTAATTTTAAAGTTTGAATTATCTTGTAGACACTAGTAAGTATTTGAACCCAAAAGGTGTATTGTAGACACTAACATAAACATAACCTCAAAGATTGACATTGTCGTATTTGAAACCAAAAATAACACTATAGAAAAGAAGAAGAAAATTATTTTCTTTCCAGAAGTACCTTTATAGAAAATTTTGTTTCAATATTGGATAAATAATAGTGGGTAAACATGTTTTATTATTATTTTATAATTTTAAAAACCTATATAAAAAACTTTATTGCTCATTTGATATTATATAAAAATTTGTAATGATAATTATAATGATAACTTTGACGTACATATCACAGATCATAGGACGATATTTTTTACTTTTCAATACATGTGTCTTTTGCTATTTTTCAATACGTGTGTGATATATACACATACTTTGATTTAGTAATGGTCGCACTGCGCAGCTTTCTGAGTGCCTTTTAAAAGGAGATAGAAAACTCCGCCATTTTGATCTCTTATTACGTGTTGCCAACATCTTGGCGCAATATTTTTAGTAGGTGTGTTTTAATCATCCGCTTCTGCTTCGGAATTGTCGGTTTTCTTGTTTTAATCTGACAGGTTAAAACGACTAAACCGACAATTCCGAAAGCAGTAGCGGATGATTAAAACGCACGTAATATTTTGCTTGCTGCTGTCAGTGTCAGTGAATATTATTTTTGGAGTCACAGTTTATTGCTAAAGAATCAGTTAGCTCACTCGGAACAGTTGAAAGTTCCAAAATAACATCCACTCCAGGGATACAAATTCAGGATACGCAGTAGACTGCTGTTTTATTATAGGCGGTTGTCATATATTGTATTATCCGAGTTGCGCAGTGTATAAACTGGAACATTGAGATCAAAAGTGCCGACGCAGAGTGAGCGATCTGATTCTTTAGCTATAAACTGTGGCATAGGAATCAAAATATCCGCGCCCTATGTTGGGCGTGTCGGACCTCTCTCTTGCACCGTATAGTAAAGAAAATCAAAGTATGTGGATATATATTTCAGTACGCGTGTGATATAAGCTACTTTCTTAAGAACAAATAAGTGTGCAAACTATCATTTTCGTATGTGGTCGTAGGAAAAAATGTTTTTAGAAGAGAGTCGGGAAGATCTGGTCCAAAAAGCCTTAGAACATGCAACTACAAGTTGTGCTAAATTGGACGTTGATATCGAAGGCAGAAATCGCACACGAGTTAAAAAGATGATGTTAGGAGAAAAAGCTAAATAAATCTCGTAAATACAAGTAATGAAGACCTGGTAACTTATATACATCAGTTCACAAATAATACTTTTGATGATTTAGAGGAAGAAGCAATGTTACCAGAAGTAAAGAGGCTAAGTAGACATCTGAAGGCTTCTGGAATAAAAATTGATGATGCAGTTTCATAGACATCATTGCAAATGTTGAAGTTTATTATTGAAATGATCTTTCGTGAATCGTTACTAAACATAACTGAGGGACTTAAACTGTTTCTTACTATTTGTGTGTCTGTGGCTTCTTATGAGAATAGTTTTTCTACAATGAGCCAGTCTCGTTTGACAAGCTTGGATATATTGTCAAATAATATATTTAGAGTTCATGTACTATAGATAAAATAGTTAAATAATTATTCATTTATTAAAAAATATTTATTTCACAGTATTAAATTATTATTTTCATTTTTCACATTCATTGTTTAGTTTATTTAAATATATTATTTCTTCATGTTTCTTAATTAATACTTTTATGGAAATTCGTTGAACTTGCAAAGACACCAGTAAAGGTTTTAGGATATCTCTTTTAATTTTTGCTCGGGGCGGCGAAACTGCTGGCGCCGGCCCTGGCTTGAAGAATCCGATTATTCTTTAATGAAAAACTAAGTTACTTGCAAATTTCCTCGTTGCTCTAAACATTTTTGTCCCTTCCAAACTTAACCTGCTTACCTCTTTTCTTAGTGTATTTTTTCTTAGTAGTCAAATCTCCCCGCCTTTAATATTATTATTACTACTTTAAAAAGTATTGTCTGTAAATACTGATATTATTGATTCTTGAAATTTGACCGCTTATTAAATTGCAAATCACCTTATATATCATTCCCAATAAAGTTTGTCGGTTGCCAGTATTAAACTTAATAGAATAATTAGCATTGTTCCAATTAAAGTAAAAAAATACAGAAACGAAACGAGCATAATGTGTTTGTTGTTCAATAGTTAAACTTTATCTTTAAAAGTGATTGATTATTCCAAGTTGTGATAAGTGATAACAAATATAATATTGTATGTTAATTAAATAATTACGGTTATTTACCTGACGTCAGGATTGTTGTGAATATGTGTCTGTGCATTTCTAGGAAGTGGGCTCCGAAAAAGGAGAGTTATGAGAATGAAAAAGAAAAAAAGAAAAATAGGCGTTATGCAGTTTTTCAAAGTATTTCTGAATTTACATCTGAATTACCACCAGTTACTGTTAAAACAAAAGGGTGAGTATAAAAAATTTAAAATTCTAAACTGATAAGAATTTCATCAAACTACAAACTAAATATGATAAACATTACTAGTTGCCATAAATTTCATGTGCTGCGTTTGAAAATTACCTCGTTTTGCATTCTTTACTCGATACCGTCCGTTTTGCTCCATTAATATGGTTTTCTCGATATCACGTGACCAAAAAAACGTAGCAATGTTATCCGACACAGAAAAATGTCAGATCAGAGTTGCTACCTTTTTAAATTCCATTTACCATAACTCGCAATTCACATTACACGTACATGGCCTGTCAATACCATACACTTTTATTTTGTAGAAAAACTATGTATAAATATCTTTTTGTCGAGCTTCTAAAAAAAAAAAGGTTCTCATCATATTTTTATCAACCTCTGGTCCTTCTACCTAACTTCAAAAAAAAAGGCTTCAGCTTATATTTTTGTACAAACCAGGTCCTTTTAAAGAACATGGGCCGTAAAAAGATTAAAATGACATTATTACATTAGACAATGTCATTTTAATCTTCATTTAGTAATTTAAACTTCGTTTAACGCAACTGTGAACAGTATACCGTACTTCAATCGAAATTACCGTACAAGTACGGTAATTACCGTACGGTTGGCAAACCTGTGTTAGATCTTTAACTTTTACCTTCACAACAAAGAAACATGCCGCGCAAAAATTGTCATTAAAAATATTACCTATTACTGATACCTATTTAAATTGTCTCTATAAATAATTATGATAAGAAAACATTAAAAAAAATATTGTCGTTAAAAATATTACCTATTACTGGTACCTATTTAAATATTCTCAATAAATAATTATGATAAGAAAACATTAAAAAATATATTTTTATCACAAGTCAAAACATTTGGGTAATTAAGTTTACACAGCGCACATATTTGAACGATTTACGCGACCAAAATTTTTTTTTGTCTATACTAGAATTATACTAGAAATGTACTAGAAATATACTAGAAATATACTAGAAATATACTAGAAATATACTAGAAATATACTAGAAATATACTAGAAATATACTAGAAATATACTAGAAATATACTAGAAATATACTAGAAATATACTAGAAATATACTAGAAATATACTAGAAATATACTAGAAATATACTAGAAATATACTAGAAATATACTAGAAATATACTAGAAATATACTAGAAATATACTAGAAATATACTAGAAATATACTAGAAATATACTAGAAATATACTAGAAATATACTAGAAATATACTAGAAATATACTAGAAATATACTAGAAATATACTAGAAATATACTAGAAATATACTAGAAATATACTAGAAATATACTAGAAATATACTAGAAATATACTAGAAATATACTAGAAATATACTAGAAATATACTAGAAATATACTAGAAATATACTAGAAATATACTAGAAATATACTAGAAATATACTAGAAATATACTAGAAATATACTAGAAATATACTAGAAATATACTAGAAATATACTAGAAATATACTAGAAATATACTAGAAATATACTAGAAATATACTAGAAATATACTAGAAATATACTAGAAATATACTAGAAATATACTAGAAATATACTAGAAATATACTAGAAATATACTAGAAATATACTAGAAATATACTAGAAATATACTAGAAATATACTAGAAATATACTAGAAATATACTAGAAATATACTAGAAATATACTAGAAATATACTAGAAATATACTAGAAATATACTAGAAATATACTAGAAATATACTAGAAATATACTAGAAATATACTAGAAATATACTAGAAATATACTAGAAATATACTAGAAATATACTAGAAATATACTAGAAATATACTAGAAATATACTAGAAATATACTAGAAATATACTAGAAATATACTAGAAATATACTAGAAATATACTAGAAATATACTAGAAATATACTAGAAATATACTAGAAATATACTAGAAATATACTAGAAATATACTAGAAATATACTAGAAATATACTAGAAATATACTAGAAATATACTAGAAATATACTAGAAATATACTAGAAATATACTAGAAATATACTAGAAATATACTAGAAATATACTAGAAATATACTAGAAATATACTAGAAATATACTAGAAATATACTAGAAATATACTAGAAATATACTAGAAATATACTAGAAATATACTAGAAATATACTAGAAATATACTAGAAATATACTAGAAATATACTAGAAATATACTAGAAATATACTAGAAATATACTAGAAATATACTAGAAATATACTAGAAATATACTAGAAATATACTAGAAATATACTAGAAATATACTAGAAATATACTAGAAATATACTAGAAATATACTAGAAATATACTAGAAATATACTAGAAATATACTAGAAATATACTAGAAATATACTAGAAATATACTAGAAATATACTAGAAATATACTAGAAATATACTAGAAATATACTAGAAATATACTAGAAATATACTAGAAATATACTAGAAATATACTAGAAATATACTAGAAATATACTAGAAATATACTAGAAATATACTAGAAATATACTAGAAATATACTAGAAATATACTAGAAATAGACTAGAAATATACTAGAAATATACTAGAAATATACTAGAAATATACTAGAAATAGACTAGAAATATACTAGAAATATACTAGAAATATACTAGAAATATACTAGAAATATACTAGAAATATACTAGAAATATACTAGAAATATACTAGAAATATACTAGAAATATACTAGAAATAAATATTCTAGAAATACGAGTATATAACTATAACGAAAAAAACTAGTTACATTTTTCAAGGCACACTTTTTTTACTGAAAAGCCACAACATTATCTTTTAGATTTTTTACCCGATTGATGACCCCACTCCAGTGCCCCTCACAAGAATAACCCCTTGTTACCTCTTGATTCCACAAAGTATTTCCTATATTGCAAAATTGCTTAGATGTTAAAATAAAAAACTGCTGATAATGAATCTGTTAATATATTGGACATATGAAATGTAAAGTGATATTTATATTTAATAAACTTATAATAATAAAAAACAATTTTTAGGGAAGAAAGTCTAATAGAAGCCGCTATACATCAAAATGAGTTTATGTCTAGAGTAATATCTGGTGATATTCTCAAAGAAGTTATTGCAGTGATGTACAGAAGAGAAATAGAAGCAGAAGAAACGATCATTAAACAAGGAAATACTGGCTCTCATATGTACGTTTCAATTCAAGGTATTTCATTTATAAATATGTTTAAATTTCCTAAAATAATAGATAACTATCGGTGTTAAATTATGAAACTTGAACGTAGTGGATAATATATGAATAACAAAAATAAACTACTTTATTTTTAAAAAACAGAAAACAATACAATTATATTTAATACGTGAAAATAATCCTATAATAACATCAGTGGCGGCTCGTGGCCAAAATTTTGGGGGTTCACAGTGACAAAATATAGGTATCAGTACAGATATATGAAAAAAACTTTCTAAAACACTGACAGTTTTTTACCTATTTCTATACCGGGATCTATATTCTGCTACAGTGTACCTCCAAAATTTTGGTTACAAGCCGCCCCTGAATAACATTAATTCATTTTGTCACCCCAGAGTGTTTGCATACTTTTTTAAAAAGAAGGAACCTAAGCCATCAATACCAGGAGAAGAGTGGTTCTTCATCTTTAACTTAAGTAATTTATTTAAAACCTTTTCTGGGCCCAAGGCATAGTACAGTAGTGGCAGGTTAATTTGTAAATAATGTAAATACAGAAGTAAAAATGTTTGCCAAAATTTCCGCAGTATCGAAATCTGTAGAACATAAAGCACTGTCTAGTTAACGCAATAGAGGTACGCTTACTTTGGAACCTAAATTTAAACGCACATATTTGTAGAACTTTTTGTGATTTTCTGACAATCTTTTTTTATCGTCTCTTCTCGCTGAACGAATGGATAGTTTTAAGAAATTAGAGACATTTCTGTGAGAATAAAAGTCCTGTGTATTTTAAAAAATTTACTTTCTTCATAGTCGTCCTTTATGATGAATTAAGGATCAACGTCACTCTTTATCCAAGGTTTTAACGGATTTTGCAATACTTTTTAGTAAAAGAATGGTTCTTAATTATTTCTTTAATAGCTTTCAAGTACATTTTGACATCATTGTAGGTAGTTCGTCGAAGTGTATAAATCGTATGATACCCAAAGTAGTCACTATTGACTCCCAGGGGTCGACGATGACGTGAGCAAAAAAAAATAATTGGAATCTATGGGATATAAACGAGAATCCATGATAGTTGATCTCATTTAATTTTGACTGTTTATTAATGGAATAACCCACACAAAGATGATTTGTTGCTTAGTTTTTACCTGAAAACATATCAAACAGATCGACGACGATTAGTACTAAATTATACTGTTGTTAATTTAGTAAACAAACTTATTTTCATAATTGTGTAAGTTATTAGGATAATCGCTTTATGTTTGCAATAAACTTTTTTGAACTTATAGAAACTTGCACATGTACGTCATAAATTCTTCCTCAGATAGATTACCAAAAAATAAGTGGATTTGGCTATATTTGTCTATATCTTAACGAAGTTAAACTAAAAGTTTTTTTTTGTAAAAAGTTTGGTGTTTGAATTTTTTGCGAGTGCTGTAGATTTGAAGGCCCAATATTCTGAGGAGAAAAAAAATTAAAACAACCCCCTTAAAAAAAGTTTGGGGGTTGGGTACCTTTTAACCCCCCCCGTATTTTTTTTTATATAAAGAAACTTGCTTTATCGATCTTAAAATCAAAAGGAACTATGAATTTTAAATTTTTTTTATAGCGAAATGAACTTTGTATCTTTCTTAGTTAACGAGCTATTTACAATTTTTTAACTTAATTTCTGGACTTAACATATCAACAAAACTAAGAGTAGGTCAGGAGTTATTGTATAAAAAACGCATATAAAAATCAGTGGTATGCCTAGGGCTGTGCTTGAGCCACCCCTGCAAAAACTACCTCTTTTATTTATATTTTTGTATTCAAGAAGGAGGTGGACATGTTGAATATGTACTAAATTAAATAGTTTATAAAATACGTATAATAATAATTATTATCAAATGTTTATTTTTAATTGTTAATTTTTTGTTAATTGTTTAATTAAAAAAATAATTTTTTTATTTACTATTAAATTTATTAAACACATTTTCCAACTAACGTGTATTTTTATCAGTGGCATGGTGAACCCATGAGGTCGGGTGGCACACCATTTTTATGGCGCCAATCCAATATTATAAATACCTTTTTTACAAAAATATAAATAAATAAGTAATATATATATATATATATATATATATACCCAGACAGCTCACCAAATCCTTTGGATATCTACTGGACATCCCAATATCCACTGAATGTCCAGTCCATGGTGGATATCTATTTTATATCCATGAGATGTAATTTATAGACATGCAAATGTCCATAAATAATAGTAATTATATAGCAAATTATTAAAAAAATTACGCCATTGTGCTCGCCATTGTGGCTAATAGTACCGTTCAGTTATTTCAAATTAATTTTTTTAAGGTGTATTCAATATCCCATGGACATCCACTAAATATATCAAAGTCTAGGCGCGAACGCAAATCATGGTGGATATCCACTAGATCTAATTTTTGATTTTGCTTACTAAGTATAGATGGCGATATCACTTTCGCTCGTGCTCATGCTCAACCCGCCGTAATTGAGTTAGATCGAAATTGGAATTTCAGTCAGACTCCATTAGAGACTGGAGTGGAGAATTTCCATTTATTGCTGAAGACTCCTAATAAGAATGACTTTCTTCTTAGTGGGCAAAATCAAAGGCAGAGTGTTGAAAATATTTTGAGTGTTGAAAATAGTTTTTATCTCTGCTATTTTCTTTCAACGTTATTCAATAATCATTGGTTACTTATGAACCTCTAGTAAAGATACCCATAAAATATTTTACTGAATATCTGAATATCTTCTATATCCTGGGATATAGACGGACATTTGGATATCCATATTAGATTTACTGGATATATTGCATATCCACAAAATATATTCTGTGGATATCTGTGGGATTTCTTGTATTGTCTGGAAGATACCCATTAGATATTTTGCTGGATATCCATAGGATATCTTCTATATTCTGGATATAGACGGACATTTGGATATCCATATTAGATCCACGGGATATTTCTGATATCCTGTGGATATATTGAATATCCTCAAAAGATATTCTGTGGATATCTCTGGGATTTGGTGTGTTATCTGGGTATATATATATATATATATATATATATATATATATATATATATATATATATATATATATATATATATATATATATATATATATATATATATATATATATATAAATTAGTGTAAGCTATTCCGAGTTAGCATAGCCCTCGGATATGTTTCACAAAGCTGGAATATTTTCTCTTAAAAACCTTGGAGAAATTGATCGATAGATATATACGGGACGATGTTCTACGGGATAACCCGATACAACGATAGAAAGATGTTAGGGAACACATGGGGGTCTAAACCAAGTATAATGCACCGGCTTTATACCATGATTATAGTACTCGATATAACTTATTCATGATCGTACAACAAACCGACCATGTATTTGAATCCACTTTCAGTTTTTTATAGGCAAGAATGTAGTTAGATGTGTCGCCGATCTAATTTTTACGCGCCGGAAAATAAGACGTAAGTACCACGTTTTGTGATAGAATCGAATAATTTTTAGATCATTATGCTATGTATTCATTTATTTATTTATTTTTACGTTGTTTTTAATAATATCTCTAAAGGACACACCTAAAAAAAAATTAAATAAAATGACGAGTGTGTGTAATACCGCTCACCTTGGGCAGTATTATCCTCTGAAATTTTCGTTGGGCGGTATTACCCGCTTATTTTTAATTAACCAAATGTAGTTACAGAAATGCCAAAAACATAAAGTACGCCTCGTAAAAAAGCAACGTGGGTCCCAGAAGCACTTCAAGCCACTATGCAGTCAGAGATAAAATGGGAAAAAGTAAAAGTTCTAGAGAATTAGGTATAAATAATACTTTTAATATTTTTAATGGAACACTAATTTTAATTTTGTTTTCAGAAATTCCTTATTCCACTATAAAAGATTGCCTTAAAACAAATAATTCTTCTGTAGCTAAACTTGGGGCGTCATTCTATGTTTTTGCCTGAACAAGAAAAACAACTGGAGGAGCGATGCGTTTATCTAGCAACTCCGTAGAAAAGAGCTGGAAAAGTAAGAGAATATAAGGTTGCAGAAAAAAAAGAAGGGACATTTCCACCTCCGGTGAAGAGAGTAACAAAAAAAGGTTAAGTTTGACGATGACTCCTCGAGCGCTTCCTCTTACAATGAAAATTAACTCGGCGATAATCAAAGCTTTGACAATCCTGATAATGACAGAAGAATAGAGGACGAAATATGTTTGATTTGTGGTGAATTTGGAAAATCGGAAATGTGGTATAGGTGTGGTAAGTGGGCCCATGAAGAGTGCACTGGTTTTGATACCTATAAATATTTTGTTTGCGACTTTCGTTCTTAAATAAGTATTTTTTATAGACTGTTTTTATTGTTCATTTAAATAATAAAGTATATTTTTGTATTTAAATTTGTCTTATAATTTATTCATACAAGTTATGTTATTATTAGGAACATAAAATATATTTGTGCACTTTTTTTTCAATGGGCGGTATTATCCTCCTAAGTAGGCACTATTAACCGCACTGTCGGCAAATTTCGCCAAAGTGCAAAACTTCCAAATTCAATAGATATTTTATATTTAATAATTTAATTGCATAATTTGTAAATAAAATTTCGGTAGCAAAGAAAAGTACTAAATTCTGACATTCCCGTTTTTATTTTATCATAAAAAATAATTAAATTATTTAATATTTTGCTTAAGTGGGCGGAAATGCCCGCATTTCTTCTAAATCTCCTAGGGATATCTGACGACTCCCTGTGTAGAATATGTAAGGAGGAGAACGAAACTCCGACTCATATATCATGCCATTGCTGGAACCTTAAATGGGAACGGCAAAGGCACTTCGGGGTATAATATCAGGAAACTTAAAAAATCGCAAAAGCGACCATCAGACATATTTTTGAATTATATTTTTGAAAATAATACCTATAAGGTAATTTACGATAATGTTTTACCACTGAGTCAAAATATAATATCAATAAGAATAAAATTGTTAAAGGTACTTTCGAATTAACCACCTCCAAATCAACAACCACCTTTAACGACGTCCGAATTTTTGGAGAACTTGCAATTCTTTACGATGCTAAACGATTGGCTACTATTAAAGCAGTGACAAACGCTGCGGTATGGGTTTTAGACGCTTCCGTTTACCAGAAACTTCTTGTGAAGCACAATATTAAAGAGCAAGATGAAAAGGTCAATTTCCTGATTAGAAATGGGGTATTGAGAGATGCGGAAGAACGAGTTTTAAAACTGGTTGCGAATTCTTTGAGATCTGAATTTTTCACCGGTGGAAAGCATATTGTTAAGGAAGGCGAGAAAGGTAAGTCGTGTTTTTAAATCCATTATTAACTTATCTTTTGTTAATTAATTTACCTAACCATTTAAAATTAAACGATCGCTCATGAACAGGTTAGGTATTTCAATTAAATTTTGTTCTACCTTTATGTATATTGTTTTGCGAATCAACCCACAATTATTGCAGGCCGCACAGGTTAGGTAAATTAGTTTAAATTACAATTTAAATATTTTTGCCCTATTTTTACTAACGCCATTTTAAAAGATAATAGTGAATGATATTTGCAGAATTATTACTCTAAAATCTTACTATTGGACTTTAATTTCAGTTTAGTTTCAGCCCCTTTATTTCTTCTAACGATGTTTATGTGTAAAAGGTAAAAGGTGGAAATAAAGGACCTGTTTTTTTTTCTTTTCCACCTTTGATCCATAAAACTCACACATTGCTACCCCTAGTTTGAAAGTCAAAATTGTTTGCCAACGGCAACACTACGGCTCGCTCCAGGCTTACCAAAATTTAAAAAATTTCGGGATATAAACAAAGTGTTATCCGAATTCAGCTCGAAGGCCGTACCCTAATCCAAAATGTTTAAAATAAACCATTCACTCAATAATATTCTCTTTATAATTCAAATAAGTAATTCTTTGAAATTTGATGGAAATCATTACATGATTTTTCCATGCTGTTTTGTCTTTCAAAAAATCAAATTACCGATTTTATAAAAACTCCAACACAGGTACGTAGTCCAAAAATAAAAATATAAATACCCCTAAATATTAATAAAATAATAGATTTTTTAAAAAACTAATGTACGAAACGCAGCAGAATATTTTCTGTCAGCGCGATTTTGCATTTCGTGACGTCACACCCTTCCTTAGCAACGTACGGAAGAGGCCATCGTATTGTCTACGAACCGTGCATAGTACCTACCTAACGATATATCAGTAATGCATATCTTACGCGTCTTTGATTAAGTCGTAAAATCCAGGGGGGGAAACTGTCCCCCTTGCCCCTCCTCAAACGACACTAATGTGCATAACTCATCTTTATTAAATCTTTACCTGTTCTTAGTTTGAAGAAGAAATTGTACTTCGAAGCAATTGTCATGAAGAATTTTTAATTTTTATTGTGTATTATTATTTATTTATTATTTATAGGTAACAAGTTTTATATCGTCAGAGCTGGCACAGTAAAGGTCTCCAAAGTAGGGGAAGGAATCCTAGGTTCTCATGGAAGGGGCTATTGCTTCGGAGAAAAAGCACTTTTGGAAGAAACCAGGCGACAGGCCACAATAACTGCAAATCCTCCATTGGTTGAGTGTCTGACTCTTTCTAGAAAGTTATTTTTAGAGGTGACAGAATACTTGAAAGTTACACCAAGGAGATCCACTATAATACCTTCTAATCCGTATAAAAATATTGAACTAAAAGATTTACAAGTTGTATACACTATTGGAATAGGAGGATTCGGTCGGATAGAAATGGTTGTGGTTAAAGAAGATAAAAATAAGGTAACGTTTCAAGATTTTTCTTATTTTTATATTATTCTTACAAATTATCATAGAAATAGTATAGTATAGAAGACCAATATAAATATACCATTTAAGCCTAAATTGAAACCTACTCTCATAAAAACGCGTCTCTGCGCAGAATATCGCAAAATAGTGTGTCTATTAGCATGCGCAGTAAGCGTTTAAACAAACCTAACACAAAACAATTTAAAATTTATATGATTTAAACAGTTTACATATATGAAATATCGCCACAAAATAACTTATAAATATTTAAATAACCATTTATGTTCACAAAAATATATTAATAAGGTAACAATGTTAAGCAAGCGATCACCTACAGATTCAATATTGACCTGGCATTACCACTACCGCTACCCTTACAGGATCGTTTTCTGTTTGTCATATTTTGGCTTGAATTTGTGGGTTATTATTTAATTACACGACGAAGGTGGCATTTTTGAATGTTTCTTATTTTAAGTTTGGTGTAGTGTTAAGTTAAATCCTAGATACAATAATAGTCAATGTTATAGGGACGAAAACAGCCTATGACAGGCGAGAGATAGTCGATACTGGCAACTAGTACGAGTCCGAAAATACACTTTTCGTCCGTGTTTCATACATTATTCTCTATTTGAATAAAAATATATAAAAAATTAAATTATATCAAATTTTTCGTATAACTGAGAAGGCTGTGATCGATAATGTATAGTCTTGAAAACAATTAAACATTTGCTGTCATGTCAGTGTTCTTATGTGTCAAATCGATTTAGCTATAGTTTATTTATTTTTTCTTCTTATTTAATTAAAATGCTTCTATTCAAATTTGATGTACATTTGAATAATTATGGATTACCATTTTATAATAGCAAAAAAATATTGCCAGTAGTATTAAAAGGTAAACTGAAAATAAAACAAAATGTTTAGATAGCAAAGCTGCTTTGCTTTTGTGGCCTGTGCTCTCATAATGGAAGCAGTGGCCCTCCATTTTAAATGTTTTTTAATGTTCACCTAAACACTGAAGACTGGCACAATCAATTACTTATGAAAATGACTGTTTATTACTGCAAATTACTGTTTCTTACTGCAAATTACTGTTTCTTGTAAATTTTAAAGAAAACTAAATGCACAATAAATCAAACAAAACGACCTAACCTGCAAACGAATACTAAAGGTGAGTTCGGGCTGCGCACTCCAGAGTGGAGTGTAGTAATTAGGCGTAAACGGAGTGCGAATATGATTTTACTCCTTTAACTCTCGGAGTGCAATGTCAATTGTCAATGTGACATACCAGCACTTAAAATTTAATCGTACTTGTCAGTAACGACCTTATAAGTTTCTTCCATATTAATGATATTCACGGGAACCAAAAAAAAAATTTATTTACTAAAGAATCACTCACAATTAACTTATTATCAATTTAAATCACCTTATGCGCATGCCCGATCCACACTCCACTCCACCATCTCCGAACGGTCAAAGAGGAACTTTTATTTTAACTCCTTCCGTACCCGAACGCCTTAGGTACTTTAGGAGTGAATATAGTGAAAAGAGTGCGTAGACCGAACTCACCATAAATAATGAATCAAGTATTTTCGCTGTCATATCGGCAACCTCGTGAAATGTTGCCAACCTTTAAAAGTTAATTTTCCCTGCACGTTAGGTTTAAATTGTATTTGCTCTTATTTTGTTTTCCTCTTATTCCGTTGCAATAGAAATAACTTGAAATTACGTCCTTTATTCTCATCGTATGTTATTAACATAATAATGTAGTAGAAAACTTGCAGAAAACTTGCAATAAACGTGTGCCGTAAAAATCAGATTTAACCTGATAATATTGAGGCGGTGGTTTTTGGTATCTCAATTTATTTTAACTTAACTTTTACAATAACAATACAACTGATACAACTGATACAACTGATACAACTGATACAACTGATACAACTGATACAACTGATACAACTGATACAACTGATACAACTGATACAACTGATACAACTGATACAACTGATACAACTGATACAACTGATACAACTGATACAACTGATACAACTGATACAACTGATACAACTGATACAACTGATACAACTGATACAACTGATACAACTGATACAACTGATACAACTGATACAACAACTGATACAACAACTGATACAACAACTGATACAACTGATACAACTGATACAACTGATACAACTGATACAACTGATACAACTGATAACATTCACGTATAACGTCTGTTATAAAACTGATCTCTGACGTCAGGTCGTCGACTTATATAGCTCGCCTCAACCTTCTAGAACCTTCTCGAACAATCTGGACTTTTCTTTGCACAAAGAATAACATTTCGAGACATTTCTGGACTATTCTATTTTCTTCATTTACTCGTACCTTTAATTATGACGACCGCAGCACGCTGCAGGGTGCTGCGTAACATTGCTCCCTTTTTTCTAGTTATTCGCCCCGAATAACTTGATTACTGGGACCTGGTTAGAGCTAACGAGAAGGATCTGTACCACGGCAAGGCGCTAACTTTTCAATGTGAACTACCGTGGATTTACTTCCCGCTGACAGCTAAATGCGGTAGATCAGGTTGTTGATTTGCCTTAAGGATAGCGTAAGGGCTTTTCCAGTTATGCTGCGATTTCTGACACAATCCTCCTCGGTGCTTGCGATTGCACAACCGTACTGGGTGGCCTCTCTCAAAATGTGTCACTGTAGCACGCCTGTCGATTTTAGCTTCTGCTTTATCGTTGTTGGCTTTCAGTCATCCCCGAACGAATCTGTAGGCCGTTGTCCTGCCATTGCAGACATCACATTTTTTACACCAATCCGCTACATCCCGTCGGCAGTTGACCCAATAAAATATTTCCCGAACTCGTGCCAGTGTTCTTTTAGTACTAAAATGTCCTCCCGAGCGGCTACAATGAAGCTCCTCCAACACACTTCTGACATGTGATTTTGGCAGTACCACTTGGCGGACTACATGTACTCCATCAGGGCTTTCCCACTTCCGATGCAATAGGCAATCGTGAAGATACAGTGAAACCCACTGAGTCCAGTATCGTTTAATAGCTTTACTGTATTTAACTATCTCTTGCCAAGTAGGTTTAACTTTATTTTTCAGCCATTCTTGAACAACCTTCCAATCATTGTCTTTCTTCTGTCCCTTTCTCAGGCTTTCAAGGGTGATTTCTTCTTCGTCGCCCTCTGGTTTGATAGCGATTGCCCGAAGTGTAACTTTATCTACCGGTACCTCCCGTTCTCCGAGCCCCTTACTATACCGGCATTCTCGTTCTAAACAGGGTCACCTGGAGAGAATGTATGCGTTGTTATGGAGATGGTCTCTGCAATGCTCTACTTCCTGATTGTTGCTAGAACGCTAGCTCGGTGTGGATGATCGGCTTCTTCGGGGCGCATAGCTGCTGTGATTATTTCTTTTTGTACTTCGTGACGGGCTTCCGAAGATTGATCTATGTGACTTTGTGGCCTCATTTCCTGATTCTCGATTTATAGAACGAGCTTTGCTTCTACAGGTTCTCTGAAGGTGCCCGATTCTTTCACAATTAAAACATCTCCTGTTTCCATTTTGGCTGTTTCGTTGCATATTTTGCAGGATATTTAAGATTTGCGAGAGGTTAGGTTTGGGAATCATTAGTATTGGCCTCTTCACTTTCCTGGGATTAAGTTACTCTCACTTTTGCGCGAGAAGATCTGAGTTTTACCGTTTTATATTCCTGGGCTGTAATCAGTTTCTTCCTTAGCGTCTTGTGATGTTGTAGACAAAGGGCTTGCTGCATTTCTACATCTTGTAGTCCATCAATGAATGCCTGTATTCCGATTTGTACTTGGAAATCTTTCGGCACCTGTGGATAGGTCAGATGAGTCAACCTTCTTATGTCGGCCCCAAATTGCTGTAGACTCTAATTATATTTCTTACTACGAACCTTTAGCAGGCTTTGGAATACACGTTGCAAATGCTGCTGGCCATATCTTGTCTTCAAAACTTGGACGAGAGATGAATAACTGGGTTCTTCTTGGGGGAGTAACTGTCAAACGGTTGTTGCTTGTCCTATCAATGAAGCCGCCATCTCTTTCTCGGTCCAGCCATTGGCTCTAGCTGCAGCTTCAAATTGGAGTCGATACGTTTCCCATATTGTCTGACCGTTAAAAGTGGGTGGCTTAATGGTATTACTAGTATGGCTTTGGGAAACTGGGTTTTGGATATGGCTTGGTTCGGTTATAGCTGAGGACGAGGTAGTGTATGCAGTTTCTCTATTGCTTGCCAAAACTAGGCTACGAATTCTTCTTTCAAATTCAACTAGTTCACTAATTTGCCTTTCTTACTCTATTCTAGCCATTTCTTGTTGTGTTAAATTAGTTTTTAAATTCTCTTGTTGTTGTGCTAAGAGATCTAATCGACTGGTCAGTTGGCATACCTCTTGCTTGAAATTTTCCTGAATTTTTATAATTTCCACCTCTACTTTCCTACGCCTTTTCTCTTTCTCTTTTTCTTCGTCCTTCCTCTGCCTTTCCTTTTCCTCCTCTTCCTTCTTCCTACGCCTTTCCTTATCCTCCCCTTCTTCCTTCCTACGCCTTTCCTTTTCCTCCTCCTCTTCTTTCCTACGCCTTTCCTTTTCCTCTTCCATCTTCAAAAACCTTGCTGGTGGACCTGAAGTATCCATGCCTGCTTCGTACTCAGTGCATCTAGTATTTACCATGAACTTCTACTTTGTATCCCACCGCTGTCACCAATGTTACGCTGGTTTTTGATATCTCTATTTTAACTCAACTTTTACAATAACAATACAACTGTTACAACTGATAACATTCACGTATAACGTCTGTCATAAAACTGATCTCTGACGTCAGGTCGTCGACTTAAATAGCTCGCCTCAACCTTCTAGAACCTTCTAGAACAATCTGGACTTTTCTTTGTACAAGGAATGATATTTCGAAAAATTTCTGGACTATTCTATTTTCTTCATTTACTCGTACCTTTACTTATGACGACCGCAGCACGCTGCAGGGTGCTGTGTAACAATATGTTGCTTTTAGCGCTGCTTGTATTTGGTTGCTGCGTTTCTTTGTCTTGCTTTGTCTACCTTCATATAATATTCTGATATAATATAATGTGATATTTTATTGAAATATGTATTTAATATTAATAGAAACCAACACAAATTTTATCTAATTTTTTTTTTAGGTATTTGCTTTAAAAATAATGAGCAAACATTCCATAGTGAATGATAACAGACAACAACAGGCCATAAACGAGAAGATGCAGATAAATTGCCACTCTCCTTTCATTGTAAAAATGTACAAGACCTTCAAGGACTCTAGATATATTTTCTATATGTTAGAATATTGTCCAGGTACATGCCATTTCTCGAATATAACGCCTAATTTTTATCGAACCCAATAGTTAGGTACTTAACTACTTTTCGAATTTACTAAATATCTATATATTGTTTTTTATTGAAATTATAATATATATTACATATTACATTACATAACATATTTTGTCGAAATGTACACCTTTATAAGTATTTCTAATTCCTACCTTAAATTTGGTCGAATTTATGATATACCTATTAAATATTTCCTCGAAATTTATATCTTTATAGTTACTTATAATCGGTAACCGTTTTTGTCGAATGTATAACATGTTGAAATGGATTATACAGAGTGGGAATGATTAAACTTCAAAATCAACAATCGAAAATAACATAATGTTTAAGAGGCACATTTAATTTTACTCCTCTACAAAAAAAATACATCAAACAGGAAACACTTCTGTCAGCCATAATGGATTATTTTGACAGGTGTGCCAACATAAAAAGTAATACAATTAAATTCAAAATTAATAAAAAATTGGCAACTAATCTCATAAAAAATGAAAGAAATTATTTAAATTTTACTCTCGAAGTATTTGAAAACGTTTATTAAATTTACTCACCTTAAATTCGCAAACTTGTGATTTATTGAAGTCAGCTAAATCTATTCTATTGGTCAGAATTTTCTTCGTAGATACTTTGATGAAAGATTTGAATCTAATTTTTTGGTCACCAAGGGTTTTGTTAAAAAAACAAAAAGTAGCTTGAAATTGAATTCCCAAAGGGAAAACTACGTTCTTTTCTGTTCCTGAAACATTTTAAATGTTTTATCTATTTTATTAAAAATACACATAGAATCAACTTTAAAAGTAAAAGTAAGTTGTAATATAATTGATCCCAAATAGAGTGAAACGCGAGTTTTAAATTGAAATTTAAGAAAATATACCTGTGTAACCAAGCAAGCAAATCCATAGCAACGAATGAGTGACGTAGCAGCTCCTGACGATGCTTCAGTGACTCAGTATCCAATGAAGCGACCTACACAAACCCCTGAACATGACATAGCCTAAAAAAATATCAAAAAGATAACAAACTTTCACGAACACTACCGAAAACAAAAAAAAGGTATAAGACAACTTCTAAAATTAAACAATCATTTACTATTTCTTTTAATTTCTTAATTATTTCCAATTTGTATAATAGAAATCAGCTGATAGTGGCTAGTGTTTACTATAAATAACTTGCAAGATGAAACGAATATTAGCGTGATCAAATATGTCTTCTTTCTTTTAAAACGTGATCACAGACCACAGATCGCAATTACCTTTCGATGCTAATCGGACAAGCTTTCCTCGCGCCCTCTGCAAAACCAAACCAAAAACTTTACAACAATTTATTTAAGTAGTAATCTTCTTTAATTTAACTATATAGTACCTAAGTAGTTTTCTGTATGAATGAGATTTCGTATAAATGAAAGGTATTTTATTAGGAATTTTTATAAGAGGATCAAGCTCGTTTTGATACTTTTCAATGATTATTAGTTTGTAATAAAAATTTGTTTAAATGTTTTTCGTTAATTCTGTGTTTCTTTTTTTTAATATATAAATTCATAAAGGGTAAATTTTATTGGGGTATACTAAAATTTTAATCAATTAAACTCCAAAACCAAAACAAAAGGATAAATATAAATTTAATAACAATAATTTTTTTAAAGAGAGTAAATAATTAAATTTCCAATAATAATAAATTACATTTTTTTTATCGCATACACAATGGGCATAAAAAAATTAAATTCCTAAAACTTTCTGTTATTTGCGATAGTGAATTAATGATTGGGGTTGAGTATGAAGATACATAAAATAAATTTAAAACAATTCAAATAACCCGCATATACACACTCCATATCAATTTATAATGCATATTTTGTCGACTTTGTTTCTTGTCGAATTTTAACTTACATATTACATACTCTGTCAAAATGTATACCTTTATAGGTAACTATAATTGGTACCTTTATTTTTGACGAATTTATAACATATATAATGCACATTTTGTCGAATTACCTACTTATTATCTACAACAGGTATTTTCGTTTTCTTTTTGTCGAATTTATAACAAACATATTTTATGTTTTATTAAAATGTATACCTTTATAGGTACTTACAATCGGTACCTTTATTTTTGATGAATTTATGACAAATCTATGTCCTTATGAGTACTTATAATCTTGTAATCGGTACCCTTGTTTTCGTCGAATTTATAATAAACATAATACACTTTTGTCGAATTATATACTTTTATAGGTACCTACAATAGGTATGTAACTTTGTTTTTTGTCGAATTTAAAACATATCTATTACATACCTATTTGGTGGAAATTTATACCTTTAAAGATACCTTTATTTTTGTCGACTTTATGACATAACTATTACATATTTTGTCGAATTGATATCTTTATAGGTATCTATATTCGGTACCTTCGTTTTTGTCGAATTTATAACATATATAATGCATATTTTGTCAAATTGTATACTTTTATAGGTACTTATAATTGGGATCTTTGCTTTTCTGTCGAATTTATACTTACCTAAAATATTTTTTATCGAATTTCGTAATTTAGTATATAAATGTTACTCATAATTGGTACCTTTGTGTTTTTGTCGAACTTAACACATACCTAATACGTTTTTTGTGAAATTTCTTTATATATACAGGGTGTTATTCAGTGCAACAGTCAGGGGCGGTTCGTGGCCAAAATTTTGGAGGTTCACAGTAGCAGAATATAGATCCCGGTACAGATATAGGTAAAAAGCTGTCAGTGATTTAGTAAGGTATATTATAAACTTTCTAAAACACTGAAAGTTTTTTCATATATCTGTACTGATGCCTATAGTCTGTCATTGTGAACCACCCCACGAGCCGCCAATGGTAGAAAATATTTGAGTATAGGGACCCATGTCCGGAAAAGTGTCACCACGGTACTACGGTCCTAGGACGCGTTAAAATTTAAAAAGACAAAAGGCATTTTCGGAAACCTACTATAGATAACAAATCCAGATTACTGGTTTTACCCGATGGATCACGTGGATCACTGAACTTAGTACCGACAGTTTACGAACGAGTTGGATTATTGATCCTGTTTATATACGGCTGTCAATCTTTGACTTTTCTCCCTTATTTATTAAATAACCATTTTAATTAAACATATTTGTAATCGAAATAATAAAGTCGCAATATAGGCATAAAGATTACAAGTTATAAATAATTGAACGTAGAAAAAACTTCAAATCTACTACTGGCATTCACCAAACACCAAAAAATTGCGTATCCCCTTATAAAATCCTGCGGTGCGCTCGCGGATCTATTACTAATCTACTCGTAGAGTGGGTCACAAAATATTGATCTCAATTACAAAGCTGGATCAGTAATCTACTAGTTTCCGAACACGGATTAGGTTAGTAACCATAGGTATACGAACAATAGGATCCATAATCTTTCTGATCCGAGTAAGTTTCCGAAAACACCTAAAGATAAATAGGATTTAATGGATTTAATGTTTGCCTTTTGTACATGATATCATCACAACAATTGTTCAAAATGACTTCCTTCAACCTGAATACACCGATTTAAACATCACACATGATTTCGGCGGACTTCGTTCAATTAAGTCTTGCTCTGTTTCTACTGTAGTTTTGTAGACCAAAGATTTTACATGTCTCGGGTGACCTAGGAAGCCAAGAAACTGCTCTACCTCTGGCAATCTAACGGTGCCCAAACGGCTGAGCCAAATCCTGACGTACTTGTACAGCAAAGTGAGACGCCGCTTCATCATGCTGAAACCACATTTGCTGTCGAACGTTTATTGGAACATTTTAAGAAGTTTTGGAAGAACAAGAAACGCCGGTAAATAGGTCCTGTTAACCGTTCCGGTAGAAGGTATAGCCCAATCAAATAATCATCAACAATGCCTGCCCATACGTTGACAGACCAACGTTGCTGATGTTTTCTAGGAAAAATTGCATGGGGATTTTCTTCGTCTCAAACATGGCTATTCTTACTATTAAAAATACTGTCTCTTGTGAAAGAAGCTTCATCGGTCCATAAAACAGCGTAAAAAATTTGGTTGTGCAGCGATTTGATGAAGAAGCCATTGACAAAATTGAACTCTAGGATGATAATCGGCTGCAGTCAATCCTTGAACTTTCTGGAAGTGGTAAGGATAAAGTTGTTGCTCGTGTAGCACCCGCCAGACGGAAGCGTTACTCGTATTCATATCCTTAGCAATGTAACGTGTGCTACTCGTCGGCAACTCGCTGAAGGACCTCTTCTTCAAATTCGGCCAATCTTACGGTTTTAGCAACACCAATATCATGCACATTGGTTTTTAACATACCTCTCTCGGAGAGCCGCCGATGAATAGCAATAAACTTTTTGTATCCCGGATGCTGTCGTTCGGGATACCGTTCTTGATACAACCACGCTGCTGCTCGTGTATTGCAGCATGTTGCTCCGTATGCCAAATGCATATCCGCCAATTCTTGATTGGTAAAGTTTTCCATTAGCAACAATTAATTTTTGTTAAATTCTTGCAAACTTCACAAATACGATAGCACGACTAAGGCGATATAGAATTCAGCTACAAAAAACAATCTCTGTTATCGTTTTTAAAGATAACAACACACAAGATCCGGTAAATTATTTAAAATCATCAGCTATAAAAAAATTTAAACATTGACATTGACATTTTGAACAATTGTTGTGATGATATCATGTATAAAAGGCAAAAATTAAATGCATTAAATCCTATTTAGGCAATTCATCGTCTTTCTAAATTTTAATGCGTCTTAGGGCCGTAGTACCGTAGTGACACTTTTCCGGACATGGGTCCCTATACTCAAATGTTTTCTACTGTTGCACTGAATAACCCCAGAAGTTTGATCCCATAGTTCTGAAACACCCTGTATTCAGTATAAACAATACTCACTATCTCGGTATCTTGATTTTTTTATAAAACAAAATATTTGTCAAACTTAATGAGTATATATATATATATATATATATATATATATATATATATATATATATATATATATACAGTGAGCATCATAAGTCTTACCCCACCTATCTAACTCGTTACTGGAGTCTTGTTAGGAAAATCGCCGAGACACGTCGATTTTTGATTTCTACCATGTACATTTTTGTATGAATAGTTTACCCTTAGTTTCATCCCTTACTGGGGGGGAGCAACCCTTTCGAAAAATTTAAATGGCATGGGGTGGTGACTGAGAGCTCATTTGAAAGGGGGTTTTATTCTCTATGCAACCGTGCAAAAAATTTTGAAATTTGCTTCATTAATTCTCAACTAATTATTGTTTCAGAATAACGGAAACTAACGTAGCGCACTCATCCATAGAATTAAAATTCGGCCCTGCATGATATCGGTTTTATTTCAGACGTAATGTAAGACTTTTTGCCATTAGATAAAGTCACTGTTAGTTTAGTTGCTTTCCTATTTGTGATGTTTTGTTATTTTTAAACATTAATAAAACAACACGTAATGAAGCAAATTTCAAAATTTTTTGCACGGTTGAATAGAAAATAAAACGCCCTTTCAAATGAGCTATCAGTCACCACCCCATACCATTTAAATTTTTCGAAAGAATTGCTCTAGTAAGGGATGAAATTAAGGGTAAACTATTCATACAGAAATGTACATTGTAGAAATCAAAAATCGACGTGTCTCGGCGATTTTCCTAACAAGACTCCAGTAACGAGTTAGATAGGGGGGGGAGTAAGACTTGTGATGCTTACTATATACCTTATTGTCAAATTTAATACATACTTTATATAATTTATCGAAACTTTTGTACCATTATGGGTACTAACAATAGGTACCTTTGCCATTTGACACATATTATACAATATCTTTGCCGAATCTAATAAGTATTTACTTAATTTAACACATACCTCATGTATTTTTCTAGAACTTTAAATCTTTACACGGTACTCAAAATAGGTAACTTAATAAAATTCTGAATTAATTTATTATAATTTATATAATATTTTGAAAGCTTTGAAAACTATTTTAAATTAAATTTTCCCTAAACAAGTATACCTTTATTAAAACAAATGAAAAGCTTTTTCAAAATAATAATTCATTTTTTCTACAATTTCCATGCCTAATAAAAAGTATGTACTATATTGGCACGCCAGTTTAGAACGATCTGTAACAAATAAGCTGGTATTTATTAGTATCACCCAAACAAACGTGACTTTCACAAAATTTGGGTATATTTACTCAAAAAATTATTGAATTATCTAAAAATATTAAAACAAAAAGTAATTCTTAACCAAACAAAATTGTACTCGGGTAAATTGACTTAAATAAGCGTATTTTTATCCAAACTAACTACATAGTTTGGTCCATTCTTTACTGAACACCTTATAATAAATATAAATTATGTATTTTTTTGTAGGTGGGGACCTTTGGAATCTTCTCTACAAAGGGCAAAATAATAACAGATTTAGAGAAAAAGACGCCAAATTCATTGTAGGATGCGTTCTAGAGGCTCTAGAATATCTGCACAATAAAGACATTATCTACAGAGACTTGAAACCAGAAAACGTTCTCCTCACCACCACAGGCTACTTCAAGTTAACAGATTTCGGCTACATAAAAAAACTAGCAAAATTCGAAAAAACGTTTACTTTCGCTGGAACGGTGGAATACGTAGCACCGGAAGTTGCCCAAAAAAAGACTTACGATCGTTCAGTGGATTTTTGGGCGTGTGGAATATTCATTTTCGAAATGTTATGCGGCCGAACCCCGTTCAACAGTTTCGATGGAAACGACAACAAAATTTTTCGAAACATATTGAGCGGCATAGAGAATATTCAGTTTCCTAAATTGATAAGTCCTGTAGCCAAAGATTTAATTTTAAAACTTTGTAAAGCTAATCCGACAGAAAGGCTGGGGGAGGGTAAAGGTATCCAGGATATTAAAAATCATAAGTGGTACGACAGGTATAATTGGCAGAAATTGCGGAATTTTCAAATAGATTCGCCGTTTAAGTACCAGAGCAAGTCGTATAAAAGTCGGAAGTATCAACCTGAAAAGGAGATTCCACCGGCAGAAATGTCGGGTTGGGATGATGATTTTTAGCGATATTAGTATTTTTCGATATTAAAGATAGTCGTATGTTTATCTACGCCTGAAGTGAAAGGCTATTTAAAATATGTTAGATATTTTACATTGATAAGTAAAAATTAGAATGAGATATGTGTGCCTTAAATTCATCATTTTCCACTTTTAATGTCTTTCTCAGTGCTTCCTAATACAAATTACCATCTTTTGGCTTAATGGTTTTTGAATCAATAGATAATCTCAGTTCACTGATCTAAAATATGATAAACAATTAACTATTAAAATTATAAAAAAATATGAAGTATTCTTGTCTTCTCGGTGCTCTGACTTTAACTTCTTTTCTTTATCCTTTCTTTACCTGTCTCTGCCTATCTCTGTCGTCTATGCCTTTCTAGTTCATTTTGTTCTCGTTTTATATAAATAAAATTTATTTTCACCTTTTTTTTTATTAAACTCTTCATCAACAATACTTGAAATTAATAACAAACAATTTTCTTTAACTTCTTGTTAGTATTAACGTAATGAGGTGTAATATTTTAATAATCACCAGATGGCGTTCCTGTAACATAATGTCTATCGAACGATCTATGAAAATTAAAATTAAAATATTAAAAACTTCATTAAACTTTATTTTACTTTAAAAATTAATGGTTCTTACGCATATTCAGCGGTGCCTCTCTGTCGAGAAAAAGTTATCTTACTTGGATACCGATATCTGCTACAATACCTTTGTCTCATCTGCATATAAGACCCTCGGTTTTTTAACTAGGAATTCTAATTTTTTTGTAGAAAGCAAAATCGTCCAACTTCTATTTGATGCGTTTGTAAGATCGAAGCTTAAATGTGCTTCCATATGTTGGTGTCCTGGGTACGGTGTACACATTAATAACATCGCATCTGTACAGCGACGTTTTCTCAAAACACTATTATACAGGGCCGGTTTTACCACTAGGCGCACTAGGCGGTAGCCTAGGGCCTCATATTTAGGTGGTCTGACAAAATGCCAAAATACAAAATATTAAGAAATGGTAACTCAACCACTCAACACGGCCGTTGTTTTTGACCGTGATAATTATTGAATCGGTATATATTTAAATAGTTAACCAGTTATCCTTAATTCGATGTTCCTTGCTTCCGGTTGTTACTCGTATCTCGTGTAGTTTTACTTTTTACTCATTTAGTTTTTTTAGCTGTTTTTTTCTTTCTTTTTATTTCAATATGTACCTATTCACAACCCTATGTATAATCAAGTTTATAATGAATGATCTATAAAGTCAATAAGTCAAGAAATTTTAGATTATTTATTTTAAAACAACCTTAACTTTATAGAATTCCATGCACAAACACCTTTATGACACACGAAAATAATATGAAACAACGGCTTCTGCAAAAGAACTCTACATTCTGTCAAATTTATTCAAATTAACCCAGTCTAAACTGGATAAAAAAGAGTGCACTCTAGACTAATTTGACTAAATTGTATGAACGAAAGTAGTAGCTAAATGTCCAAATTGAACACTTGACTGTTCTTGAACGAACCAAGACCCAATTGATCACACTCTTTTTGGTCAGAGCGTGTTTTCTGAAAGCGCTCCAGACGTAAAGGTAAGTTGGAGTAGAGTTTGTATTAGTATTCTCTAGATCAGCCATACTCAACCTTTTTTTCCTTCGGGCCACATTCGTATGTTTGCTACGTTAGAGGGGCCGCAATATATTTTTTTGATAATCCATTTAAAATTAGTTAGTGGGGATCTCTAATAAACAAAACACAGAACATAAATTTTATCCCGTCGGGTTACAACATTTTTAGAGATTCGAGAAAACGCTGTTCAAAAGGTTAAAATTGAATAAAAAATTACTAAAAGCTTCAAACTGTTTAATAATAGTATATTATTAAACGAGCAATTTATGGTAGCCATTATTCACGCAAGTCACCCGAGTGAGAAATGGCCATAAATTGCAAGTGTAATACTATACTTTGTCCACGACTATTATGATTTGTTTATTAAATAAAATTAAAACTATTAGATGAGTTTTGAATATTTTCAAAAATCTGGTTAGACATTGAATTACCTACCGGAATGTGCCAGAATTACCAAAGCGTGAATTATCATAATTCACTCTAATGATATATGGGTACCATATGCTCTGAGTTAGGTAGTAGAATATTGATTTATTATTAAGTGGTCGTGGACAAACAATAACTCCAATTAAAAAAAGACATTCAAAACATAATTAGTTTTCACAAAGTATAAACTAAAAATCCATTGGTTGGTAACAAGAAAAAAAAAAGAAAAAACGCCACTTAACTTATTTTAGCTCTCTACATACAGGTCATAATATTCAATGTATGTGTTACTATCCTCAATTTAAGATTCAAGTACCGTGTCTTTAACAATATTGGATACAGATGGATTGTGATAATAATGGTGAAATTCATCAGGTGTAACACCTGATTTGCAAAGTTTTAGTAGATCTTTCTTCTTGCTCTTTTTTGTAATTATTTTTAGAGCTATTTCTTTTTTCACTCTTTCAGGCATCCTTCTAATGGTTTTTGAAGGTTAGTTGAATCGCGGAGAGAAAGGGTGACGTAATCACCTTGATGATTTCGGAACACTCGAGATATGCTAGAAACGGCTCTGAGAAAACCAAAACAAATAGCTTGGGCAAAATGTTAAGGTATTTGAACAAATACTTTTAACAAAAATAATAATATTAGCAATTGAACACAATGTTATGATTGTTTCGGTATAATGTCACTCATCTTCTTTGTGTATATTGTGAATGTATTTAATATGGAGTTAGTTTTTATTTTTTTTTCTATGTAGTGCTTGGGTTTTTAGGTGCTAGTGAGAAATGAAACTCGTGTATGTGTGGGTAAAGCTTTCGACACTGATCAGTGCCTTCTTCAGTAATTTTTTTTATTATTTGTAAATTATTTTTTTTTTGCATTAAAGCCTTTTTTTAAAACATCAAAAACAGGTCCTTAGTACAAAGTTGGGGTGTGTCGTTACAATTATTAAAATAAGTTTAAAATCCTTTTTTTTTATTATTATATATTTATTTCCACTATCCTTGTCATGTCCGTTGATATGGTGCTTTAATGTCCGTTCAAGTGTATGAGTGTTAGCACCCTTTTTTCTCTTACAGGCCCTCATAGAGGTCCGGATTCAAAACATTTTATTTAATTTTTAAAAGTTTTCGTTTTTGGTTGTTTGATCGACCATGTGGTTTCTTCTAACTAATAGAATTAATTTATCAATTCATTAATCAGTGCCGAAAGCTTTATCCACACATACCATAATTACCTGAAAAAACTGTTAAATATATCTCATCTCAGACTATTATACTATACCTTAGTTCAAAGTCGCATTCAAAATGCCATCTTATCGTGGGGCGCTACAACAAAGAATCACACAAACAAATTAGAAATACTACAAAAGAGAATATTAAAAATTATACACAATAAAAAAACTCGATATCCGTCGGATGCCCTTTTCTCTGAAATAAATATATTTGATATCAAACAGTTATATGTTTACACATCACTTATGTACACTTATAAAAATAAAAACATTTTAAAAAAAATTAATCATAAATATAACACCAGAATTAAACAACAAGGTCATGTGCAAACTTACTTGGCAAATAAATCAATTGGACAAAGACATTTTAATTTCTTAATAAGTAAAATTTACAACTTTATTCCAGATATGTACAAATTGTATTTATTGACGATAAACTCAAAACATTTATTCAAGCAAATTATCAAAAAAAATTTATTAAATACTCAATTAACTTTAATTCATGCAATTTTTGAGTGATTAGTAGTCGGATCTGAAATTGCGAAGCGATATAATACAAATATATTTATCAATCTTACACATTTAAGCTCTATTAAAAATATTTTATATATAATGTAATTATAATTTTTTTTAAGTGTGCACATCTGTTTTAAAATTTATCATTTATTATTGTAATTTTATTATGATATAAAGCAGTCGAATACCCATGCGCATCCTACAAGGACATAAATGGGTTTATTCGACTCTTTTAATATCAATATAATGAAAAAAAATATTCAAAATAAAAAAATATGTAATATTTTTATTTTTTAAATGAATAAACATTATTATTATTATTATTATTATTAATACTTTGTAATTGTAATTATTATTGTATTTTTTGTGAATAAATTATTATTATTATTATTATTATTATTATTATTATTATTATTATTATTATTATTATTATTATTATTATTATTATTATTATTATTATTATACACGATTTCATTTCCCACTAGCACCTAAAAACCCAGGAACTGCAAAGAAAAATAATATAAATTAAGGTGCAAGAAAAAAAACTTTAGAAAAGAAGACTTCATTTTGTAAAGTAATAATATTAGTTTTTATTGGCCATCTGTTAATTATGAATATAGACTTCGTTCCACTTGTTTTGTTTATGTCGTATATTATTTGGACTATTTTGAAGAAGAAAGTGCCCTTGACTCTAAAATGAGAAAAGAGGAGTTATCTTGTTTTTTGCAGTATCCCCATCAGGATCCAAACGTTTATTTAAAAATTAACGTAATTAGCGCAGTGGCTGATGAATATTTTCGCGCATTTCGCTCAAAATTTTAAAAATAGAAACCTTTAATTTTAAAAAGTACCTTCTAAATAGTGTTGCGGGCCGCAAAACCAGCTTGGAGGGCCGCATGCGGCCCGCGGGCCGCAGGTTGAGTTTGGCTGCTCTAGATTAATACCTAACATTCCTAACAACCTAACTATGTGGTTCATAACAAAGCATAAATAAAATAGGTACCTATTTGCTTTGCTTGCAGAATGTCAGAATAGAATGTAATATTAAATTATCACAAGATGCGGTAACGGTAATAATTACCCTATTGGTGAATATTTCCTACTAGTATTGGTTTTTAATTTAATAAATAAAAAATAAATATCGTGCGTTTGCGACTCCACTGGCACCATTTACGAAATAACAGGAATCATTTATGTTTTACAGATTACGGTGTTAATTTTCATAACGCAGATGTTTTGTGTTTTAATAATTATTAGAGTTAAATAAAATGTATTAAAAAATCTTTTTGTATTTTTTCCCTTGGCTGTGACTGAAATTTGATTTGAAATTTATCACCAAACACCCTGGTAACTCTATAGTTTATTTAGTAAAAATATAAAAAATATGTCTAACAAAGGGCCTCAAAATTGTCTGGCGCCTAGGGCCTCATGTTAGGTAAAACCGGCCCTGCTGTTATAGAATAGATAATGTATACCCAGTATTACTCAAGAAATACTACTTCAGAGATTCAATGTTAAGTCTTTGCAATTACGTCGGATATATAGCATGTTCCAACAAAGTTACATAACATGTTTTACTTACCCGTTGCGCAAACAAATATACTAATCTTTTCACCATTGCAACAAGTATGTATCAATTATATGAGGTTTTAATGTGAAATTGACTTGTTTAACTTGTCAGTGCTCAAAATTAGGGAAACTATATTGTAGACCGTCTGGTATACAGTATGGTTCAAATGAAAGGAATAAATTCATTATAATGGAAGTAGTTGGTTTTTTGAAAAAATGCTCGGACAGGTCAATTTTGTTTAATTAAAGCGCAATTTTTTAAATAGAATTCAATTTTCCCCCACTTCCCATTTTTGGGCAGTGACGTCATTGACAATTTTTTTAAATGGTAACCCCAATTTTTTTTTCTTGATTTTGAGAGATCTTGCAATTTCCTACTCGGAAACATAATATTTGTAATATCTGACATAACAATTTTTTTTGAATAAAAGTCATTTAAAGATAGATACATAAATTTTATTTTATTTTGAAACACAATAAATGAATAAAAAATTATTTGTAATTAAGTGCTTCATCTAAAAAAAAAAAAAAATAATAATAAAAAGAATTTATTGACAATTTCACAAATTATTTTTTATTATTATTATTATTATTATAATTATTATTATTATTATTATTATTTTGTTAGATTAAGCACTTAATTACAAATAATTATCTTTTAATCAATTATTGTGTTCTCAAAATAAAATAAAATTTATGTGTCTAATCTTTAAATGACTTTTATTCAAAAAAAATTGTTATGTAAGATATTTCAAATATTATATTTCCGAGTAGGAAATTGCAAGATCTAACAAAATCAAGAAAAAAAAATTGGGGTTACTATTTAAAAAAATTGTCAATGACGTCACTGCCCAAAAATGGGAAGTGGGGGAAAATTGAATTCTATTTAAAAATCTGCGCTTTGAGTAAACAAAATTGACCTGTCCAAGCATTTTTTCGAAAAACCAACTACTTCCATTATAATGAATTTATTCCTTTCATTTGAACCATACTGTATGTTCCAACTTTTTAATTGTGATTTTGTATGCGCCTTTTTTTTTTTTCTTATTTCATAGTTTTTTTAAGGGCGCGTACTAAATTACAATATCTTAATGTTTTCGATGTATGTATATATTAGTTTTAATTTTGTGAATTACTGTAAGTATATTTTTTATCATTGTATTTTCCCACCCTGTATAAGGCGCACACTGTTAGGGTGGTGTATTACTAAATAAATAAATAAAATAACTAAGTCCATTTTCATTCCGAATTTTTAAATATAAGACGCTCCTTCCTTCTCGGTGATCAGAGTACGAAAATAATGTTTTTTGTGAAAAAGGAATAAAAAGTGTTATACTCTTTATAGGAAAGTATAATTATCGTCCAAAATTTTAATTATTGTGGAAATGATCATTAAAAAAATATTGTTTGGACATTAGGTATTTTTACTGAAGAGTTTCTATTAATTAAAAATTATAACTTCACGACGTTTTACATAAACATTCCAAAGATAATTGTTGTTTTTTTTTTGTTACTAGTCCTAAACAATCTCTCACACAGAGGATCTCCTAATTGTTATAAAATGATTTACTTATGTTGTTGAAAAGATACCAATACCTACCTACCAAATTCTCAATTTGTTATTCCATCATAACTTATAAGTAGTAATCTCGCAAAATTATTAAACGAGTTAAAAAATACAATATCATATATCATTTTTCGATTTTTCGTTTTTTCGATTTTTCGATTTTTCGATTTTTCGATTTTTCGATTTTTCGATTTTTCGATTTTTCGATTTTTCGATTTTTCGATTTTTCGATTTTTCGATTTTTCGATTTTTCGATTTTTCGATTTTTCGATTTTTCGATTTTTCGATTTTTCGATTTTTCGATTTTTCGATTTTTCGATTTTTCGATTTTTCGATTTTTCGATTTTTCGATTTTTCGATTTTTCGATTTTTCGATTTTTCGATTTTTCGATTTTTCGATTTTTCGATTTTTCGATTTTTCGATTTTTCGATTTTTCGATTTTTCGATTTTTCGATTTTTCGATTTTTCGATTTTTCGATTTTTCGATTTTTCGATTTTTCGATTTTTCGATTTTTCGATTTTTCGATTTTTCGATTTTTCGATTTTTCGATTTTTCGATTTTTCGATTTTTCGATTTTTCGATTTTTCGATTTTTCGATTTTTCGATTTTTCGATTTTTCGATTTTTCGATTTTTCGATTTTTCGATTTTTCGATTTTTCGATTTTTCGATTTTTCGATTTTTCGATTTTTCGATTTTTCGATTTTTCGATTTTTCGATTTTTCGATTTTTCGATTTTTCGATTTTTCGATTTTTCGATTTTTCGATTTTTCGATTTTTCGATTTTTCGATTTTTCGATTTTTCGATTTTTCGATTTTTCGATTTTTCGATTTTTCGATTTTTCGATTTTTCGATTTTTCGATTTTTCGATTTTTCGATTTTTCGATTTTTCGATTTTTCGATTTTTCGATTTTTCGATTTTTCGATTTTTCGATTTTTCGATTTTTCGATTTTTCGATTTTTCGATTTTTCGATTTTTCGATTTTTCGATTTTTCGATTTTTCGATTTTTCGATTTTTCGATTTTTCGATTTTTCGATTTTTCGATTTTTCGATTTTTCGATTTTTCGATTTTTCGATTTTTCGATTTTTCGATTTTTCGATTTTTCGATTTTTCGATTTTTCGGTTTTTCGATTTTTCGATTTTTCGATTTTTCGATTTTTCGATTTTTCGATTTTTCGATTTTTCGATTTTTCGATTTTTCGATTTTTCGATTTTTCGATTTTTCGATTTTTCGATTTTTCGATTTTTCGATTTTTCGATTTTTCGATTTTTTGATTTTTCGATTTTTCGATTTTTCGATTTTTCGATTTTTCGATTTTTCGATTTTTCGATTTTTCGATTTTTCGATTTTTCGATTTTTCGATTTTTCGATTTTTCGATTTTTCGATTTTTCGATTTTTCGATTTTTCGATTTTTCGATTTTTCGATTTTTCGATTTTTCGATTTTTGTTAGTGAGTCGTAGAAAAAATATAACTGTACAACTTCAGTGGGCTCGAACTCACACGTGGACGTGGCCAAAAGCACGCTGTCTTACCTAGCATTGGGTCTAAAAGAGATAGAATCAGTTATGAGCAGTTAGCAGCTAGTCTACACGCATACGCCGGTCGGAGTGGGGGTGTTAGGTTTTTGCGTTACGGTGTTACGAAATTTCTTGATTCGGTCGCCACTCAAAGCCCGCGATAAAAGCTATGCAATAGCTTAATAACTTAACTAATTTACCTAACCTGTGCGGCCTGGAGCAATTTAATTTTAATCGATTGCTCTAACACAGGTTAGTTAAGTTTTTTATAAAAACTTAACTAACTTACCAATCTGTGCGGTCTGGAGCAGTAGTGGTTTACCTCGCAAAACAAAATTATAAAAAAATGGGAAAAATAAAAAAAACTTTAACTTATTTACTTAACCTGTGGTATTTAAATTTAACTTGCACAAGTTAGGTGAGTTAGGTACGTTAATTAAGTTTTTTTTTTTTTATTTTTTATATATTTGTTTTTGCGAAGCAATAAGTGATGATTCTAGGCCGCGAAGGTTAGGTAAATTAGTTAAAATTTTTGTTTTAATTTTTCTTATTTCTCTATAATTTTATGTATAATTGATTCTTAGATCAATTTCTTTTTCTATCAAATCTATTTTCGATCAATTTTCTTTTCGATCATTTTTCTGTTCGATCATTTTTCTTTTCGATTAATTGTTATTCGATAAAATGTTTTTTCGATCAAATGTATTCGATCAAATGTATTCGATCAAATGTTTTCGATCAAATGTATTTGATCAAATGTTTTCGATCAATTTTGTGCCACCCGTTTCTTTTTATCTGTGTACTATAATAATTGGTAGAAGTTTAAGAGACACTTAAACGAAAATCTTGCCGTTATTTTGTTCTATATTATGTAAAAATAAATGAAAATTTTATCTTCATGCAGTAATCTTTACAGTCTAAAAAAGTTTTCCTTATTCTTAAAACATAAGGGTTAATGTTCTCTGCAACAATGTATATTGGCCCCTTAAAACACCTGTACTCGATTTCAATGATTAGATATCAGTTACTGATTGTATTTATACACAGATATAGTTCATTATTTCATTTTATCAATTAATTTTAATACAAAAGTGAGCGGCGTTGCGACATTCTAACACAGCTGGGATATAAACATTTCAAATCAGTGAATTATCTAGTACGTGAGTTACATAAAATATTGGAATTTAGATCAATATAGAGAAATAAATGGAAAAATGTTATTCTGCAAATACAAAAGATCGACAAGTGTTTTGAATGATAAAAATTGCGAGCCGAACGAGGAAATATATGAAAAGAGAAGGTCAGGGATTATTTCCAAATCAGTTGGGGCTCCTTATGAACTTGATAAAGATGTGAAGATTTTTCCAAAGACAACAGAGTGAGTGTTTTTTATGCATGATGCTAATATTTAAAAAATATACAATGCATTAATAATTTTTTATACAGGGTGTTTCATAATATATGCGCAGGACTTCAGGAAGTGATAGCTCGTCCAAAAATATGAAAAAACGTTTCTATTAACTTACCCTCTAAAATGCACCATTTTCGAGATACAGGGTGTTAAAATAAAAAAAAATCTACGCCACTGGAAAAAGTACGGTTTTGAGACGCCCATTTGAACCGCCAATGTTTTCTACACAAAAAAGGTACTCTTGGTTATACGTTCTAAAGTCGACCGTTTTCGAGAAAAATCAAATTAAGTTTTATTTCCAAAAATTGACCATGTATTTCAACATTAAAATTTGATTTTTCTCGAAAACAGTCGACTTTAGAGCGTGTGACCAAGAGTACCTTTTTTGTGTAGAAAACATTGGCGGTTCAAATGGGCGTCTCAAAACCGTACTTTTTCCAGTGGCGTAGAATATTTTTTTTTAATTTCAACACCCTGTATCTCGAAAATAGTGCATTTTAGAAGGTAAGTTAATAGAAACGTTTTTTTCATATTTTTGGACGAGCTATCACGTCCTGAAGTCCTTCGCATATATTATGAAACACCCTGTATAAAAGTGTTGGATAATCACTTATAATTTTAAAATCAAAAAACAAATGACCACACACTTTTCTTATGCATAAAAAGGTAGATATGTTCGAGAGAAATACTGTATATTAAATGTTTTGAGACACTGTGATGGATTAGAAATGTACCGCCAGGGGGGGGTAGCCCGGACAAATCCCCGGGGCCCGAGCACAAGGTGGGACCCGGCAGCGCTTTAGCTGAGGACGTTTTATTTTTTTTTTTTTTTTTTTTGAAGGGAGGGTCTGGTTTACGAAAAATATAAGGCAAGGACCTTTTTTTAAATTTCGCTGAGAAAGGATCTGATTTTGCTTAAAGACCTTTTTTTGTAGAAACGCAACATAGAAAGGACTTGATTTTGATTTTTGTATAAGACTGTCCCGGGGCCCACCATTGCTCTTAGCGCCCCTGTGTACCGCCCTGAACTATTTGGAGGCAGACAAAAAATTTCGTTGCCAAAGAATAGAAAATAATTGCCTTGTAAGTTACGAGTTGTTCATTATCAAAATCTAATAAGTTCACATACAGGGTCATATATTATTCCATTAAGGAGTTACAGGTTGTTAAAGATTATCGATATTTCCATGTTCAAGTGTTTATGACGTTATAATCGTTTAATACTTAACAATAACAGGTAGATAATTCGAAAATTACGAATATGTTATCACCCTGTGATTTAAATAATCATATTGTTATTAAAAAGCCCTCGAGAAATCAAAAGAGGAACAGATAAGCTGTAAACTATAAAAATATCAACAATTGTTTCGTGAAAATGACAATAACCCATGATAGCTACTCGATTTATGTTAAACATTTGAAAGACCAATAAAATAAAAGGACTATTTTTATATGAATATGTAGCAATAAGTAGATATGACATTTATACTTCATGGTGTACTTAACGGAAATGGATTCCATAGAAGAAAACTCACAATGAACATAAATTTAAGAAGACAGTTCAAAAGTGGAGAATTTCCCAGATGTATCTGCTCATTGACTACTTCATACTGACGATATATTAAATGTTTTTAATTTCTAGCTATTCCAAAAACCATATCAGTTTGAAAAAGTTTGTTATTGCCTATGTAAAATATTAATGTATGTTTATTTATAAGCTTTTTCAATAAAGAACTCGCAAGCAATTAATTTTCTAGACTTTGGCAATAATTTTATATGTTGTCGATTTTTAAGCTATTGCATAGCTTTTATCGAGGGCTTTGAGCGCGGCGACCGAATCAAGAAAAAAACGAAACCGTAACGAAAAAAAACCTGACACCCTCCACTCCGAAAAATCGAAAAATCGAAAAATCGAAAAATCGAAAAATCGAAAAATCGAAAAATCGAAAAATCGAAAAATCGAAAAATCGAAAAATCGAAAAATCGAAAAATCGAAAAATCGAAAAATCGAAAAATCGAAAAATCGAAAAATCGAAAAATCGAAAAATCGAAAAATCGAAAAATCGAAAAATCGAAAAATCGAAAAATCGAAAAATCGAAAAATCGAAAAATCGAAAAATCGAAAAATCGAAAAATCGAAAAATCGAAAAATCGAAAAATCGAAAAATCGAAAAATCGAAAAATCGAAAAATCGAAAAATCGAAAAATCGAAAAATCGAAAAATCGAAAAATCGAAAAATCGAAAAATCGAAAAATCGAAAAATCGAAAAATCGAAAAATCGAAAAATCGAAAAATCGAAAAATCGAAAAATCGAAAAATCGAAAAATCGAAAAATCGAAAAATCGAAAAATCGAAAAATCGAAAAATCGAAAAATCGAAAAATCGAAAAATCGAAAAATCGAAAAATCGAAAAATCGAAAAATCGAAAAATCGAAAAATCGAAAAATCGAAAAATCGAAAAATCGAAAAATCGAAAAATCGAAAAATCGAAAAATCGAAAAATCGAAAAATCGAAAAATCGAAAAATCGAAAAATCGAAAAATCGAAAAATCGAAAAATCGAAAAATCGAAAAATCGAAAAATCGAAAAATCGAAAAATCGAAAAATCGAAAAATCGAAAAATCGAAAAATCGAAAAATCGAAAAATCGAAAAATCGAAAAATCGAAAAATCGAAAAATCGAAAAATCGAAAAATCGAAAAATCGAAAAATCGAAAAATCGAAAAATCGAAAAATCGAAAAATCGAAAAATCGAAAAATCGAAAAATCGAAAAATCGAAAAATCGAAAAATCGAAAAATCGAAAAATCGAAAAATCGAAAAATCGAAAAATCGAAAAATCGAAAAATCGAAAAATCGAAAAATCGAAAAATCGAAAAATCGAAAAATCGAAAAATCGAAAAATCGAAAAATCGAAAAATCGAAAAATCGAAAAATCGAAAAATCGAAAAATCGAAAAATCGAAAAATCGAAAAATCGAAAAATCGAAAAATCGAAAAATCGAAAAATCGAAAAATCGAAAAATCGAAAAATCGAAAAATCGAAAAATCGAAAAATCGAAAATCGAAAAATCGAAAAATCGAAAAATCGAAAAATCGAAAAATCGAAAAATCGAAAAATCGAAAAATCGAAAAATCGAAAAATCGAAAAATCGAAAAATCGAAAAATCGAAAAATCGAAAAATCGAAAAATCGAAAAATCGAAAAATCGAAAAATCAAAAAATCGAAAAATCGAAAAATCGAAAAATCGAAAAATCGAAAAATCGAAAAATCGAAAAATAGAAAAATCGAAAAATCGAAAAATCGAAAAATCGAATATCGAAAAATCTCTCGAGCAATTTTTAACAACTTTTTTATCTCTTTAGCAAACTGCACAATATTTTAACTCTCGACAAATTTATAAAAATATTTTACCTCTCGATAAATTTTTAACAGTCTCGAGCAATGTTTGCACAATATTTTATCTCTCGAGCATTTTCTAATAGTATTTTATCGTTCGAGGAATTTTTAAACAATGTTTTATCTCTCGAGAAATTTCTAATAGTAGGCATCTCTTAAGTCAATTTTGAACAATATTTTATTTCTCAACAAATTTTTCAATAGTATTTTATCCCTCGAGCAATTTTAAGGGTTTAACATTTTGTAATACTATTTTACCTCGAGCAATTTTTGAACACGATTTTAACAATTAATAATTCTATTTAATCTCTCGATAAATTGTTAAATATTTTTATCTCTCATTAAATTTCTAACAGTATTTTTATCCCTAGGGCAATTTTTGAACAATATTTTACCCTTCAAGCAATTTCTAATACTATTTTATACTTCGACCAAGTTTTAACACCCTTTTCTACCTCTCAAGCCATTTTTGAACAATATTTGTTCTCTCGTGCAATTTTTAAACAATGTTTTATCTCTCAAGAAATGTCTACTATTTTATCTCTGAAGTAACTTTTAACAACTATTTTAATTTCTCTTGCAATTTTTGACCAATATATTTTACACTGAAAAAAGGTACTAGATTTTGTTTCGAGTGTACAAAATACCAGATTCTCAGAGAATGTACTAGATCTAGTACAATTGTACTAGACTGGCAACACTGAAACTGATTGATACTTCATCCAGAGTATTTCGCACGTTTGGTTTAATAACAAGTTAAAACTTGTTGGAACATATGTTTTTATTTTTGAGGTAAAAAGTTATTTAAATACTTGAAATGTATTTAAGTACCGGAAAAGTAGTTAAATACTTGATATGAATTTAAGTACCAGAAAAGTATTTAAATACCAGAAATGTATTTAAATATCAGAAAAGTATTTAAAAATCAGAAAATTATTTAAATTCTTAAAAAGTATTTAGAATATTTTGAAAAAGTATTTAAATACTAAATACTTACAAAAGTATATGCAGCTGCAAATACAAATACCGCTCATCCAAAAGTATTTAAATACCTATTATTTAAATAATTTTAAGTATTTAAATACTAAAAAGTATTTACAAAAATGTAAATACTGCCCAGCTCTGGTTCGAGAAAATAGAAATGTCATTAATGTCAAAAATAATAACAAACATCGTAGAGAATAACATAGACAATAAAATTTATGATAAAAAAGATTATTTAGAAAATGCATAATTATGAAGGTTTATAATTTTTAAGAATTTTTGAAAACTTGACCTTGTAATTCTAAATAACTCGTTAAAGTCGGATTCTAAGTATAACTCTGGTAATATTACATGAGGTTCTCTTTGACATATGAGGCAAAAATTATCTGTTGCTAGAGATTTGCAAACTCACAAATCGTTAACTTAACAGTGACATCACTGTTTTAGAATCATTTATTTGAGCGCTTTCAAAATTTATGACGTAGTATTAAAACTGGTTCTAAAAGCTGTTGAAAATATTTTTAAACCAAAGAGACCGCTCGAATATGGCTATAATAACCCAATTAAAAAGAACGGAAACTATT